CTGCTCTTTTTCTCTTCTTGTAGACTTGGATTTCTAGACTTGCGTTTATTCGAAGTGATCTTTTTTTCTAGGTTATTAATCTTAGTTCTAATTGCACGGTATCGTTCTTATATGTTGTCCCTCGAGTATGCTGGTCTCATTTTGTATATATTTATTGTAGAATTCTTGTATCAAGAAAATATTGTCGTCAAGCTTACCAAAAATTAGTAACATTTTTAATTTCTTTTCGTTTCTGATATAAAGTCGACCAGCGTAGTCTAGATTTTGCTGCGTACTTTAATTCCGTAAAAGAGTTTTGCATTTCTATGAAGCCAATTGAAAGATTACTTCTAACAAAGAATGTCGATAAAACAGACGGCTTTAGGATCCCCTCAATAGGGCGCCGTAAGTTCTTATATTTGTGTCTCCTCAGTTCTCTTATCATTGAGCGCTAATTAAACAAGCGATAAGGTCTCGTCGTAGGTGTCACCGAACATTTCGGGGGGATATCGATCGCATGGGCGAAAAAAGGCTCGGGCGTAAAAAGCGCGCGGATTGCATTTGGGTCGTTGCGATTGTATACTAATGCAAAAACCGGCTTCCGCAAATGGAATTCTGTACGCGTGCCAAAAAATGCGTTAGCCGCAATAACTACGGGCTTTTAGGACGTGTCGCGCATGAGATGCATCTTGCTTTGAAGCGGGGAAACTGGGACATTCAGAAAGGGGAGAGGGGGAGATGAGGGTTAATCGCGATTTCAACCAAGGAAGAGCGATGGGCGGATTCTTTTCAAAGGATCCGGCGCGCTAGCCCGACGCGAGGGGCCGGTGGATGTTTGACGCGTTCATTTTCGGACCATTCACCGGGCGGCCTCTCGTTAAAAGTGCCCCGTATGTCAATAGGGCGCATTCATTCGCACCTGAGCGGCAAGTACGATGCACCTGGGCGCAAGCTCATGAATAAATTGACGATGTCCCGCTCGTTCCGGACGGGTTCGTCGTCGACGCGTCTCGTTATGACGCCATTAAACTTTCCTCACACCGTTAATAATCCGCGGTGTTAATTATTGTCTACCTCTCCCGTCCGCCGCGCCGTACGCTACACGAGGCGGGCTGTGTCGCCAAGTATTAACCCGTTGATTGACTGAGCCCGGGACAAGTCTCGGTCGGCGCGATTCAGTTTATTAAATTAGCGAATTAAAAGCGAACAAATGCGGGCCGCCGCGAGAGAACGCGAAACAACGGGGGCCGGTCGCGCGGCGGAATTTGCGAAAGATTGCATTTCGAGCGAGCCCGTATCCGAGAGAAGTCTGAAGAAGAAGAAGAAGAAGAGAAGATGAATAAGAAGACGAAGACGCACCCTTATCGCCGTTAGCAAAACGATTCCTCAAGTATCGAGCGTGAAATAATACTCGCTTCTCGCGCAAGGAGGATGCTTGGAGCAAACAAAAAAAAATCGCACGGTACGACAGCCCGGAATTTCTTCGTTCGTCGCAAAATTAGAGGAGCTCGTATACGAGTACGAGCGCCGTGAGTACCAGCTACTCGTACCGAGCCGTCGCGCTTGAAGAAATCCCTCTTCTCTCCGCGCGAGTCCTTATGCCATGTATCCCTTTCGTGTCACGTTAGAATGCGCGGAGAAGAGAAGAGAGTGAGAGAGAGGGAGAGGGGGGGAGAGGAGTAGAAGAGGGAAGGAGCGAAGAGCGCGAAATTCAGCGGAGGAAGAAAAGAAGAGGGAAAGAGAGGATCAGCGGGTGGCTCTCTGTCGAGGAGCCGCATACCGAGGAGCTGGAAAACGCATTGTTTAGGCTACACTCACACCGGCTCAGGTGGGTGTGTCGCGAGCGTGAAATACCGGCGAAGTGACTCCGTCGAGTGGGCCTGCACTTCGAAGCGCGGTGCTCGAGTCGCACCGCAGATTCCAGCGGATGGACCATCTCCGTCCGCGGGAGGGAGAGAAAGAGCGAGAGGGACATATATTTGATCTACCCCGACCGAGATGCGACTCTCTCTCTCTCTCTCTCTCTCTCTCTCTCTCTCTCTCTCTCTCTCTCTCTCGTTCTCTCTTGACTTTCGTTTAACTGTAAATAAAACGTTTATATTTGCAATATATATTTGTACATTTGCAATTTTATGTGTAACAATATACTACACACAGACATATACACACACACTCTCTTTCTCTCTCCCTCCCTCTCTCTCTCTCCCTCTCTCTCTGCCCCCCCTCTCTCTCTCTCTCTCTCTTTCTCTCTCTCTCTCCCTCTCTCTAAATAATATTACCTAATATTATATCCTTTTCCTTCTTCTTTTCTCATGCTTTGTGTGTTACACTTTTTCTCTCTCCCAGTCTCTCTCTCTTCCTCTTTTATTTTATTTGTTTAAATTTCCTCTTCTTAAATTTTAAAGAAATCCTTTTTTCTTTCTTTTTTATTCTCTCTCTCTCTCTCTCTCTCTCTCTCTCT